TCAGCAAAAGGAACAGCCCAGGAGAATAAATGATGAAAGATCAAAATTAGGAAGACAGAATCTATAGCTGTCAGCAAAAGGAAAAGCCCAGGAGAATAAATGATGAAAGATCAAAATTAGGAAGACAGAATCTATGGCTGTCAGCAAAAGGAACAGCCTAGGATTTACAAAAAGAATAAATGATGAAAGATCAAAATTTAGGAAGACAGAATCTATAGTTGGAAGAGAATAAATGATCTATCAAAATTAGGAAGACAGTCAAAATTAAAAAGATCAAAAAGGAACAGAATCCAAAAAGAAAAGCCCAGGAGAATAAATGATGAAAGATCAAAATTAGGAAGACAGAATCTATGGTTGTCAGCAAAAGGAACAGCCCAGGAGAATAAATGATGAAAGATCAAAATTAGGAAGACAGAATCTAATGTAAAGCAAAAGGTCAGCAGGTGAATAAATGAAAGATCAAAATTAGGAAGACAGAATCTAGGTCAGAATAAAGCCCATGAATAAATGATGAAAAATCAAAATTAGGAAGACAGAATCTATGGTTGTCAGCAAAAAGAACAGCCCAGGAGAATAAAAATGAAAGATCAAAATTAGGAAGACAGAATCTATGGGTCAGCAAAAGGAAAATGAATAAATGATGAAAGATCAAAATTAGGAAGACAGAAATCTGTCAGCAAAAAAGGAACAGCCCAAAAAGATGAAAATCAAAATTAGGAAGACAGAATCCAAAAAGGAAAAGCCAGGTGAATAAATGATGAAAGATCAAAATTAGGAAGACAGAATCTATGGTTGTCAGCAAAAGGAACAGCCCCAAAATTAGGTGACATAAATGATGTCAACAAAAAGATCAAAATTGATGAAAGAGGAAGACAGAATCTATGGCTGTCAGCAAAAAGGAAAAGCCCAGGTGAATAAATGATGAAAGATCAAAATTAGGGAAGACAGAATCTATGGTTGTCAGCAAAAAAGGAAATGATGAAGACAGAATCTATGGCTGCCCAGGAGAATAAATGATGAAAGATCAAAATTAGGAAGACAGAATCTATCGCTGAATCAAAAGTAAAAGCCCAGGAGAATAAATGATGAAAAGATCAAAATTCAGCAAAGGAAGACAGAATGTGACCAAAATTAGGATGACAGAGTTGTCAGCAAAAGGAACAGGAGAATAAATGATGAAAGATCAAAATTAGGAAGACAGAATCTATGACTGTCAGCAAAAGGAAGAGCCCAGGAGAATAAATGATGAAAGATCAAAATTAGGAAGACAGAATCTATCGCTGTCTCAGCAAAATGAAAAGCCCAAAGGAGAATAAATGATGAAAGATCAAAAAGGAAGACAGAATCTATAGCTGTCAGCAAAAAGGAAGACAGGCCATGAAAGATCAAAAATTAGAAGACAGAAAAAAAAGGAAGAGCCCAGGAGAATAAATGATGAAAGATCAAAATTAGGAAGACAGAATCTATGAATAAATGATGATCAAAATTAGGGAAGCAGAATCTATGGTTGTCAGCAAAAGGAAAAGCCCAGGAGAATAAAATGAAAGATCAAAATTAGGAAGGCAGAATCTATAGCTGTCAGCAAAAGGAACAGCCCAGGTGAATAAATGATGAAAGATCAAAATTAGGAAGACAGAATCTATAGCTGTCAGCAAAAGGAAAAGCCCAGGTGAATAAATGATGAAAGATCAAAATTAGGAAGACAGAATCTATGGTTGTCAGCAAAAGGAACAGCCCAGGAGAATAAATGATGAAAGATCAAAATTAAGAAGACAGAATCTATGGTTGTCAGCAAAAGGAACAGCCCAGGAGAATAAAGGACGAAACATGAATTGTAAGAAGGTATAATCTATGGTTGTCAGCAAAAGGAAGAGATTATGAGAAGAAAGGATGAAACATTAGTTGTAAGATGACAGAATTTGTGGTTGTCAGCAAAAGCAAAAGCCCACTAAAAGAAAGGTAGTAGCATCATTTACAAGAAGAATGAATCTGTGGTTGTCACCAAGAGAAACATCCCACGAAAAGAAAGATCGAAATATCCATTACAAGCAGACAAAATCTATGGTTGTCAACAAAACGAACAAGGGAAGGGAAGAAAGGAGGGAAAATCAATTGTAAGAAGAAGCAAACTATTATTCTCAGCAAAAGGATCATTTTACACGAAGAAAGGAAGAAGCATCATTTGCAAGAAGACAGAATCTGTGGTTGTCAGGAAGAACAGATCAGAAGAAGAAAGGACGAATCATTAATTACAAGAAGGCAGAAAAAGTCAGAAGAAAGTAACAGCCAAGAAGATAAAAGGAATAGAAATCAATTATAAGAAGACATAATCTATGGTTGTCAGAAAGAGAGGCCGCTCACGAGAAGAACGGACGAAACGTCAATTGCGAGAAGAGCGAATCTATGGATGTCATCAAAACGAACAGCCCACGAGATGAAAGAACTAAAAAGCAATTGTAAGAAGAAGGAATCTATGGTTATCAGAAAGAAGAACAAGAAGAAAGTACGATACATCAATTGTCAGCAAACGGAACAGTCTACGCTGCAAAAAGGCCGAATCATCAATTGTAAGATACAGAATCTATGCTTGGCAGCAAAAAGGATCACTCCACAAGAAGAACGGAGTAAAAATCAATTGTAAGACGACTGAATTAATAGTTGTCTGCAATTTGAACGGCTCACTACAAAGAAGAACCAAACATTAAGTGTAAGAAGATAGAATTTACAACAAAAGGAAAAGCTCACGTGTTGAAACAAAGAAACATCAATTGCAAGAATACACCATGCACTGTCAGTGAAAGGAAAAGACCAGGTGAAGAAAAGAAAAAAAAACATCAATTGCAAGAAGCCAGACTTTATATGTTATCAGAAAGAGGAATAGTCCACGAGAAGAGAGAACGAAAAACCAATTACAAGAAGACAGGATTTAGGGTTTTCACCAAGAGGAACAGCCCTCGAGAAGAAAGGTGCAACATCAATTGCAGAAAGACAAAATCTGTGATCGTCAGGAGTCGGAACAGCTACAGCCCACGAGAAGAAATGACAGAATATCTGTTGTAAAACTGATAAAATCTATAGTTATCAGGAAAAGAAAATCTCAGGAAAAAAAAATAGGATGAAACATCAAATTGCAAGACGACAGCATTTGTTATATTTCAGGAGGCAGAACAGCTTACGAGAAGGAAGGAATAAACATCAATTTTAAAAATTCTTAATGTATGGTTCTCAGCAAAAGGAAAACTCACGAGAAGAAAGGACGAAACATCAACTCTAGGAAAACAGAATCTATGGTATGGTACATAGAAGCATCTGATACTGATGATGGTGATGACGAGAGAATTAATAATGACTAGCAGTAGAGCCCGGCGTTGCCCGGGGATGTTACAGTAAGAGATGGATCAAGTATCGACCATCATAAAGACTGAAAAATAAAATTGACAAAGATTATTGTTTAAGGTTGACGGACACGCATGTCTTATTTAGTTTTTTTTTTTTTTTTTTTTTTTTTTTTAAACAAATTGGTCAAACCCGAACTCAAATAAAAACATTGTTTACAATCGTTATGAGTCTATCGATTGAATAGAATTTTATCATAAACAATTGTCTTGTAAATGGAATTTTTAAAGCATTCTGAATGTAAAAATAAAGAAAAAAGTGTGCAAGACAATAAGAAATACTACCTGCCAAAAAAAATAATTGAAGTTTTGTTGAAATCGGTTGAAAATGTAGGAAATCCGATCCCATATATAAACGAACAACACACACACACACACACACACACACACACACACACACACACACACACACACACACACACAACCTGGGTTTTATAAGTATAACTCGATATGAGTTGTCCCCCTTTCATTCTTGCGACAGCGATTCCTCTTAATCGTGTTTTCAAATTGATTTCGTGCAAAAAAAATTGTTTTTCCAATTTTTGGCGCTGTCTGAACCACCGCAAGGTAATTTTACGTAGTCCTGTGAAGTTTTGTTGAAATCGGTTGAAAAATGTAGGAAATCCGATCCACGCAGTAATCCTCCTACTTGTAATTGTAGAAACAAAAACATCTGTCCATTACAGGGAAAATGTCAGCAAGAATGCGTGGTTTATCAAGTGAAAATTTACAAAAATAGTGAGGATACTAACCCTAAAACATACATAGGTGCTACTCAGGGTAAATTTAAAAAAAGATATTATAACCACACGAGTAGTTTTAAAAACGCAAAAATTAAACATAGTACCACGCTATCTACTTATGTATGGAAAACCAAACAGGAAGATAATATAGACCCCATCCTTAAATGGGAAATATTTAAAAAATGCCCAAAATATAAAGCAGGCCATAAATTTTGTAAATTATGTGCAGAGGAGAAATTAGCCATAGCTTTATATGATCAACCTAACCAGCTATTGAACACTAAAACTGAAATCCTTAACGTATGTAGACATCAAAAATCTTGGCTACTAGATTAGACATTTTCCCGTTTATTGTCATTCCACCTTGATGTTGGGTTTGTTTTTTCCCCTTCCTCATTTTTGTTGAATAAATATTTAAAGCTTAAGTTTGTGTTTGTGGTTCTTTGGTCACGTGGTATGATTTTAGCTATCGCCTATAAATATGCGTTTCTCTTTGCCTCGTTAGCCTTACTTTCCCTGACGATCCGTTTAGGTGAAACCTAGGTAGTTTTGTCTGGCTCACTAGGTGTATCTATCTATCTATCTATCTATCTATCTATCTATCTATCTATATATATATATATATATATATATATATATATATTAGAAATGATAGGAAATAAAAATTATAAATGATATAAATGTATTTGAAGTAACTATTAAAATGTGATTGGCTTTGTAGGTAAATAGCCTTTAAAATTAAAGTGTTTTTAAATACATTTACATATAAAAAATATTACTAAAATAAGTAGTAATAAATGATGATGCGTACAATTATAGCTTTTTTTTGTTTGGGATCACGAAATGCATCTTGTTTTACTTACGTCCACATTACGTTTAAACACCGATTCCTGTACGATCACCGAAGTTAAGCAACGTTGAGCCTGGTTAGTACCTATATGGGTAACCGCTTGGGGATAACAATTACTATATGCTTAGATGCACGGGTGATAAAAAGGGACAGGAAGAAGTGGAGAGCCGTGATTGTTATATTCACTTGTGCGCAAAGACTCTTGGGCAAGGAATGAATTCAGTCCTTCTGCTTTTATATTAATTAGTAAGATTTGTATCACTAAACCATTATTTTCTAAAAAAAAAAAAAAAATTACAATCTAAAAATATTTCCAGGCTTTAAATAACCTTCAAAGGATTGATAAACCGGATAAAATGAATTAATCAATAAACGAATCAATCAATAAAATCAATCAATCAATAAAATCAATAAACGAATCAATCAATAAAATCAATAAACGAATCAATCAACAAAATCAATAAAATCAATCAATCAATAAAAAGCTTGGCAGAGGAACGTCACTGGTAACGGCAAGGAAACACCGTCGCTAAATAATGAGCTGCGACCGCTCATCAACTTGGAATGCAACTGAAGAGATTGCAACTGAATTAGATTACAGTATCTAACCATTGAAGATCACAGTATCTAACTGCTGAAGATGATTCGAGGAAGATTATTATTGTTATCATTTAAAGCATGGGAACAAAACAGAGGATCAATTGTTATATTCATTTTACTTTTAATTTACTTTTATATTCAAGAAGTATTGAACGTAAGTAGAAAAATGTAGAGTAAGAATACAGTTTTTGATATTATAAAGATAGAGTACAATTGCCAAATTATTTAAATATGGCCGTCATTTTGTATTGCAGGTCATTTATTTTGTTATAGTTCTGTAGTTACTCAGTAGATACCAACTAACAACCAATGCACAAATGGTTTCTGTGTTCGTCAGATAAGTAGAATATTGTGCACTTGCTGACAACAGTGTTTTGAATTTTTTATTCGGTTTGCACATGTAATCAACACTTGATCTCTTGTAATAAGTAAACTTCCATTTTTTCCCCTTCGAGGCCTGCTCTCTTACGCTAAACAAAATACGCTTCTTTATCAATGTGAGGCTGGTTTAATAACTTTGTGAAAAGTTATTCTTTAGACTTTTGGACAATAGAAAGAATCTGCAAGTAATTAAGGCATGTTAATAATTCGGAATATAACGGCCTTTTCTTTTTATGTGCCGTGCCCCTTCAGGACGTAGGCGATCATGGCTCTCCACTTCACCCTATCCCTTGTCGCTCTGAATAAGTTTCGTCGCTCTACCACCTCCCCCAGATCACATTGTCATCCACTTGTTTAAATCTGCCAGGTATGTCATGTGTTGCTTTCCCTTGTCTCTCTTTCTCTCTATTCGACTTGTGAGTATCAGATTCTTCAAGCCCTCCTTTCTCATTACGTGTCCCAGAAATTTAATCTGCCTCTTCTTGATGTTAAGTATAAGCTTCCTCCTGGTTTGCATTCCTCTAAAACCTCATCGTTGCTCACACGCTCGGTCCATGATATCCTTAGCATCCTTCTGTTGAACCATACCTCCGTTGCCTCGACTCTCTTCTTCATCTTTGATGAGACCGTCCAACATTCGCTGCCGTTAAGGAGGACAGATGTCACGTAGCAACTCAATACTCTTTTCTTTGTTACCAAAGAAATCCTCATGTCTTGCAGTATTCTGTCCCGCTTTTGGGATGCGTCCTTGGCCATCCGAATACGTCTTCGGATCTCAACGTCACACTTGCCGTCCTCCGTCAAAACACTTCCAAGATATTTAAATTTCCGCATCTGCTTGATTTTACTGTCCCCAACCTGCAAATCGCATTTCAGGCTCATCCTTTTACTGATGACCATGCATTCTGTCTTTTTGTAGTTTATGCATAGTCCTTTCTTCTCGCTCTCCTTCGCTAACTTCTGTAGAATGTTTTTTCTTTTCTTTTCCGTGTCTGCTATCAGTTCTGTGTCATATACGTATATTATGTTGGTAAGATTGTGGCCGCCGATGCTGAACCCTGGTAGGATTTCACAGTTTCAAATATAAGGTCACCTACTTAGAAACTGATACACATTATGTTTAGTCATCTTTATAATTGTCCTTTTGTTTATTAGTGTGATCAACAGTGCTAGATTAAAAAATGATACGTGCCCCCCCCCATTTACGTGTTCTGCGCATTAAATACTCTTAAGCTGTGTGGTGTAATTGGCATCTTACGACTTGGCAATGTTCATGTTTATATGTCTGGTGTGCGTGTGGGGAGTGAGTGTGAAGCTGCGTCTTTAATTATAAATTAAACCAAGTACAACTGATTATTAAAGGATGAAAAATTTTCGCGGATTTTGGTGTCATTCTTGAATCATTTTTGTTTTCGTCCAAATCCGTAATTTTTTTTGCTCATGCTAAGTCTCGGAAAAAATACAAGAAAAAATTCACTGCGTTAAATTATTCAATTTTAATAAAAAAAAAATTTCAAGTTGATATTAAAAATTACCTCAAATATTGCTGATTTATTTAAGATGGAATGAACTATTATGACATGTTTCTAGTTCGTATTTAGATACATTGTGTTTATTTTCAATTTTTCTAGTTGAATTGTTCACCTATATTGCATAGGATCCATTATTGTACATAATTAGGTTCTAATAAAATTTGTATTTTATATGAATACTACCTGTCATTGTGCCTACCTAGACCGACAGAATGAACTCTTCCGAACGCTATACATACTACGCCTCTCAAGAGAGACGAACGGATTTAGTATTGGGACGGTATTGAATCGAGTCGAGCTGATAGCCGTCACGCCAACCCAGTCGGACAGTCTTACTAACACTTTCACTTCTTGTATTATTTCTTGTGTAATATATTCTTTGTTATTTCTACTGTTATGTTTCGTGTTGTTCTTCCATGGTCCTAACCTTGGACCATAACCACTACCTTATGAAAATTGAGATTTAGAGTGGGGCACCCCGTGTCATTGATTCGGGGAGGGAGGATGCAAGATCGTTGTATCGACACTGCCTAAAACCATGCTCGTAAATTATTTATGTTTTGATATTTATGTGTCATTTTAAATTTAGAGTCCCTTTATAACCTGCTAGAGGCTGCACCATAGTTTAATCTGTTCCTGGTGCTCAACGCTTTTTCTTGTGCCGCAATTGGGAAAAAAAATATCAAATTATCTTTTCAAATGTTCACATTGGAATGATTCGCGAAACGCTTCTATATCAGAATTCTTTTGACTGTTCTCACAATGGATCGTTTTTATTAGGCTAATTACGTAAATGTGAGCATATATGAACCTGGTCGATATAACGGCAATTAGTTTTTTGCTACAGGCATACGTCATTACAGTCCTGGGCATCTGCGATTGCTCTTGCAGTATGCAAAATTTGGACCCTCATTTTGATTCAGTTAACTCTCAGTTTATTTCCACGCAAGTTAATGTTCATATGATACAGAAGTTCTCAACCTTTATTTGCTTAATCATCTACTTTCACAAAGAAAAATTTCCTACCGTTCACCTATATAATAAATATTCAAAAGCATACCAAAATAGTTTGTTAAATGTCTGTTACTCGTTCATAAACAGATTTTATGATGTAGTAAAATACCAAAGGGAGGTAACAAATAAGAATAAGAACAAACGAAAGGAATCATGCTGCATAAGAACAAACCAAAGGGAACATGATCATTGAATATATATATATATATATATATATATATATATATATATATATATATTTAATTTAGTATTACGGTCAAGGTTAGCTTTATGGCTAAGGTTAGCTTCGCAAGTTTTGACAAAAAATTTAATGATTTTTAAATATAAACTCCTAGTAACTAATAAAAATTCAGCGAATATTTTTGTTCATGGTATTCACTTATTTGATTTATATTAAAAAAAATTATTTTATCTGAAGAACTATTTGAATGTTGATGACCCTTCTCAAGACTATAGAAAATACAAAAATATTCGCTCTTTGCAGTGATATTTATATCTTATCTACGAGCGTGACCCAGCAGATGTCGAAATACCTTTTTAAAACTCAAAATTCTATATCGTACACCAAAAATTTGCAATCTCCCACCATTTCCTGTTTAGTTGCACATCACCCACCCAACACTTGAAAACGCCCACCGATGGGCGATATCACCCAAGTTGGGAAACCCTGATATAATGTAATTTCCTCATCCCTGCTGGTCTTTATACGTACCTCTACTATTACCAATAATTTTTCAGATCTTCAGCTCATCGATATAAAAATTAAATAAATTAAGGAGGCAGTATGACTTAATAGTACTTATTGGTCAATGAATACTAAATGTTTCCTTATAAGGAAACAGCTAATATTACCATTATAATTAGTCAGTCGATCACAGCGCATTTGTGTACACCTTTCTAGTTTTTATATATATCTTCTGGAAAAACGGAAGTTTTAAGGAAAATGAAAGAAAAACAGGATGTTTCCACTTAGTATAAAAAAAGACGGATGAAACTTTTAGGAGACATAATTAGAAAAGAGGGTTTAGAGAATTTGAAACCCATAAGACATATTGGGGCAGAGAGTGCAGAGGCAAACAGCGAGTAACCTTCCTGATCGGTTTGCGTATATGGATGGCAGAACAGGAAGTGAGAGGAATAGTAAAAGGATAAGAATCTCTAAGAGCTATAAAAGATGGGACGTTGTGAAGAGTCGTGATCACCCGCGATGTGAAGGGACACAGTATATAAAAAAGGAAGCTTTATATTTTGTTAACCCTGTAGATTATCTGTGGAGTCTCAGTCCTAGTGTAGCAAGAGTGCAGCCTTATCTCATTAGGACCAATACTATCGAGTTTTCATAATATCAACTTGCATTAAAACCTTTAAACGGCGAGAAAATGATGCTCGAAGCTGTCGACCATTTTAAAAGCTTTGTCCTTATGCTTATTTTTGCTTTAATTATATACAGACAATAAAAATTCTATTTTAACTCTATCAGGTTATAAAAATGATAAAAGGTAAATAAAACAAAGGTAATATTTTTTAACTGTATAATAATCCTTGAAGCATTCCATAAAAAGTTGCGCTAATCTTTAAAC